TAAAAATAAATGAGCTTGCTACTTGCAAAACAAAGCTGAGCGTTTTCCTCGGTAATGAAACTTGAGCCTTCAACTAAAACCTGGAGTTCAGGAAGGCTCGGGCATGCTGCTATAAGCTCGATAGTTTCTCGGTATTTAAAGACACAGTGTGGTGGGTGGCGACATTATTGAGTGTGATGTTTTATGGTGTATAGAGCCGACACGGAGAACATTTGCGCTGCTCAGCGAGCCAACAGCATCCGATGAGCAGCACGTGACGCTGTGAAGCCACCCATCTGGAACAGGTCCCCTCAGGACACCAGGCAGAGCGATGGGTTGTAGCGAAGCAGAGTTGAACGGTTCACTGACTGGCATTTTGGTTGCAAATTGCGTCTAACTTTATTTATTGTTTTGTTTTTGTTTTTTGCGGAACCAGAGATTGAACTCAGGCCCTTGCACTTGCCAGGCAAGCGCTTATTCTACTGAGCTATCTCCCGGGCCCCTGCATCTAGCTTTAAAAAATCCTATGAGTTGCAAGTTTAGCTGTTATACCCTGAAGCAGCCATGGTCACCTGAAAGGGCGCTACGGACGCTTGCTGGTTCTTGACCTGCTGACGTACACGGGGCCAATTTCCTTCATGCTGAAATGGATCGCATGACAGAGGCGGGAGAGAAGCCAGTTGGTTCCTATTAAGCTAACCGTTAAAGAGATTTGCAGAAATGTAAAGCACTCTCCTCACTAATTTTGTTTTGCTTTGTGATAGATATGTTTGTTTGTTTGTTTGTTTGTTTGTTTGTTTTGTGCCAGTAGTGGGGACTGAACCCAGGGCACTGCCCTTTCTAGGCAGGTGCTTCATGGCTGCGCTACTTCTTCAGCCCTTTTTCATCTTTTGAGACAGTCTTTCCACATTGCACAGGCTATGGCCTGGGGAGATAGTGTAGCAGTCTAAGTGCTTGCCTGGCAAGCACAAGGACCCAAGTTTGATCCCCGGAATCCCGAGTGTGCCATGCCTGCTGCAAAACCAGGTGTGGTGGTGCACGCCTGTAATCCCAGGACTGAGGAGGCTGAGACAGGAGGAGCACTATGAGTCTCAACTGTGTAGTGAGACCCTGTATCCAATAAATACATTTTTAAAAAAATTTTATCTATTTATTTATTTATGTGTGTGTGTGTGTGTGTGTGTGGCCAGCTCAGCCCACCAGGGGGCAGGGCTGGCTGGCATTTGGTGCTGGGGGATTGAACCCCGGTCCCTGTGCTTTGCTAAGCTTGTTCTAAGTAGGTGCTTTAGACCACTGAGCCATCTCACCAGCCCAATAAATACATTTTTTTAAAAAATACAAAAACAAACCCAAATCACCCAGGCTAGCCTCAGACTCGAAATCCTCCTGCCTCAGCCTCCCAAGCAGCTGAAATTACAGACATATACAACCACACCTGACTCCTTAAACTTATTTTTAATATGGAATTTTTTTGATATATAGTGAATGTATTTGTTTTAAATGAATTAATGAATAAATATTTAAACATTTTGCATTCTTAATTTTTTACAGTAAATATTGATTTCTTTAAAAACACAGAAACAAACAAACAAAAAATGATTAGGCCCTCAGTGCTAAGAGTGTGAAAGGGTCTTCACACTAAAATTTGAAGATTGCTGATTTAGACTGCATAGAAGGGGATTGGTCCTGCATGGGGCAAGAGAGTTAGGAAAAGACTTTAAGTGGTCATTGATGGCTCCCTCTTCCTGGGTGTGTAGGGGCAGATCTTCAGAATCTATTCCTTTTCTGATTTTTCTTAACTTTTGTTAATATTTAAAAAATATTTTATATCCTATAATGTTTCTTTAAATTTTTTTTTTATATTTTTCTGGTACAGGGTTCTGCTACACAGCTCAGACTCGTAGTGATCCTCCTTTCTCAAGCCTCCCCAGCGCTGAGATTACAGGCACGCGCCACCACGCCCGGTTGGGGCTGGCATGGCGCACCCGGGCCTCCTGGGCCGGCCCAGCACGTGGATTCTCCACTGTGTCACAATGCTTTTGCTCACCTGCCACCACTATGACTGTTGTTGGATTATTATTCTTCTTTTCTGTATTTTAGGGCAGGGTCTACAGGGTGTTCAGGGTCTCACTACCAGTTTGGACTCCTAGTGATCCACCTGTTTACAGCCTCCCAAGAGCTGGGGTTATAGGCACGCGCCACCACGCCCAGTCTCAGTCGCCATCTCTACATACCCTGGTAGTAGGGCCAGCACAGCAGGCCCAGGGATTGAACCCCCAGCTCCTGTGCCTCCTTGCAGGCACTTTAATCAACTGAGCTACTTGGCTGGCCCTGTTGCTGGTTTTTTATGTGAGCTATTTTTCCAGTTTGCTTTCTAAAAATTAAAAAGCAATTTAGCACAACATAAAAATGCACAGCACTTAGCATTGCATTTTCACTAGATGTACATGGCTGTGTGGCAGATCTGGAGAACTTTCTCACCTTGCAAGCTGGTACCCTGTACTCACTGAATGTCAGTATTCCATTTCCCCTTCTGCCAGCCACTGGAAACCATAACTACCTTCATTTCTTTGGAGCTTGACTATTTTTTGGTATCTCACATAGCGCAATCATACCGCATCTGTCTTTTTTGTAAGACTTCACACAATGTCCAGTAGGAAACTCACATGACCAGATATTCCACTGTAAGTAAGCACTGCCTTGTTAGCCATTCGTTCACCGGTGGACATATGGGTGGTTCCCGCCTCCACCTCCTTGCCATAGAGGTCAGTGCTGCAGTGGCCTGCGGTGTTTCCTAAGTGCTTGGGCTCCAGATGTTTGCACTAACCCTTGCTCATGCCTGAGAATAGTTCTTGACTCTCAGAACGTACAGCTGGGTTGGCAGAGCAGGGGGTGGCCAGGAGGGGTGACCTGACTGAAGGGAGGGTCACTTTCACCTCTGAATCCCAGGCACTGGCAAGGGAAGCACAAAACAGCCTGCTTCCCTGAAGCCAAGAGTTTCCTGTCTGCCAAGAAGGCGTGACCTTGTGCTGCATGCTCTTCGTAGGTTAGAAAAATGGGTAAATTTCTTGAGATATATCACTATGAAAATAAGGAGAAAAAATATTCCTCCAGCTCCTCAGGGTCATGCATTAACCTCAAGGAAAGCAGTGTCAGGAACAAGCCTGGTAGGTGACTTAGCACAGAGGAGACTCATAGTGGAAAGAGGAATTACTGAGGTAGAAAACACTCACCTCTCCACCTCAGTTCATGCTATCTAAACTCAAGCTTGACTGTTTTTGGTTGCTCTAGGCTGCAGGTTAGGATCCCAAAGAAACATGAGTTTGAGTGGCTGATATGGCGAAGACCAGTCTCTCAAAGATCAGAACCAACAGCCTCTCCAGGATGCTAACCTGAGCTCTCTGCTCCTGAGGTTGCATGCCACATAAATGGTTCAAGTCTGTAAAAAGCTTTCATTTCACATACAGAGTGTGTATCTGGGCTCCCGTTCTGTGATGTGACCGCACAGAGCATCCTGATAAAACCTGGCCATATACAAAAGGTGAAGGACCACTCCACCAGTGTCAGAGCTCTCTGGGAACTAGGACATGTCCCTTGGAAGGGACACAGAAAACACCTACACACTCTGGCCACGCCCCTGACCTGCACTGATTTCTTTTCAGCCCACTTATCAGTCTTAAAGAGAAGATACTTGCAAACCACACTTTGTGGTTCCATGTTATGGATGATATTTTTCTTGTCGCATAGCAAATATGGTTATTTTATAATCCAGAGATGCAGAAAAGGCACTGACTGGGCTGAGGGCCAGGGATGTCTGCTTCGAGCATGGCCACCCATCCGCTGAACGAGCTTCCCTCTCTTGGGCCTCAGTTTACCTTTTGTAAAGCCCAGCACTTGGGCAGCACAAGTTAATTAGCTCTTTTTGTCCCTCACATTCTGTGAATGAATGGCCACTGTGTTTACCCGACGTTCTATTTGGTATGTGTTTATTTATTACATATATACATATATAAAAATCTGTACATGGTAAAAATACAAAATATCTTTTATAAGTTATGCAATTAAAGGGCTACTTTTTTCAAAGTTTAAAGACCATTGCAAAAGAGAGAAATCTAGCCAATCTTTTATATTCATTCCCAATAACCTTGGTATAAAATATCCGTACAAGACATATGTACAAAATAGTATACAGTTCCTAAAAGCTGTGCAAAGACAGCAGTGTTGTTAAAAAAAAATCAAAGAGGCTCATGAGCCTATCTCTGTCCACATCGTACCCACTGCTGGCTTTGAGCTCTGGGACGCCTCCTCCATCCAAGGCAGAGTGCTTGGTGCACATATTATGCCTGCAGAAATTAAAAAGAAAAACTTTGAAACACAGCAGCCAAGCATGGAGACACAGTGCTCCTGAGGCTGAGGCAGGAGGATTAGCAGGAGACTGGGCCAGCCTGGGATACATAGTGAGTTCAAGACCAGCCTGGAGTACATAGTGAGACCCTGTCTCAAAAAAATAAAATAAAGTAAAATATTAAACAGAAGTAGAGAACTCTTCCTCCTAAATACAGAACTCACTGGTTGCTCCCAGACAGCATATGGAAAGAAAAGACTGCATATTTGCATTTCTCTTAGACGAAAAGGCACAGGCTTAATTCTGTTTTGCCATTCTTACGCTTTCAAGGGAACTGCAGTGGGAAGGACCCTGGCCGCCTGTCACAGGGAGGAGAAAGGACCTATGAGGTCGGGGTGCTTGGAGTGAGTTGTGCTTGGTGCTTTGATGCCCAATTCGGTATCCTCCTCCCTAGGATTTTTATAGCTGTCCTGGATCGCCAGTGCCAGCAATGTCCCCTACCCGCATGGTTTCCAGTAGCCTTGGAGGAGCTGATGCAGTCCTCGGGTAGAGTTAAGGCTGGGCCAAGCCCTCCGATGCCGTGGGCAGCGCTGTGGACAGTGTAGCTGGGGTCCTGGTGGGGACACGATCCCGGTCCCCCACCTCCCACTGCGTCAGGTCGGGCGCAGAGGGGCTTCTAGGACACGGTGATCTCCTCCTCCTCTTCCTCAGCCTCCTCATCCTCACCCTCCTCCTCCGAGTCAGAGAAGTCCGAGGGTTTGCTGGGGCTGCCCGAGCGCGCTGGCGAGGGCCGCCGGGAGTTGGGGGACACGCGGAAAGCCAGGCGTGGCCGGGGGCTACCCGGGCAAGCGTCGGGGTCGTCGTCGTCCGCAGGGCCCTTCTGGCCCACGTCGCTGAGGTCTGGGTGCGGGTTGAGTTTGGTGGGCAGCGTCTGTTCGCGGCAGCCCCCACTGGATAGTAGTTCGCGTTCCTTGGAGTTTCGCCACTTCATGCGTCGGTTCTGGAACCAGATTTTTACCTGGAGCGTGCAGAGCGGAAGAGAGACGCACGCGAAGCCAGTGAGCGTGGGTGCGTCAGGGCACTGCAGAGGGCGCCGCCCCTTGTTCCCTCTGAACCCAAGGAGTGATTTTTTATTTTATTTTATATATTTTGCGGAATTAGGGATTGAACTCAGGCCCTTGCGCTTGCCAGAGAAGCGCTTATTCCACTGAGCCATCTCCCTAGCCCCTCAAAGTGATTGCTGCTGCGCTGCCCCATTTCCCCTTGACTGGCCGCTTCCTGCCCCTGTGCTCAGACACCCAGCCCAAGTGAGCAAGCGACCCGCTCTTGGCCTCAGATTCCTCCTCTGCGTAATGGGCCCACGCGGTTTCAGAGGTGCCCCCACCCTCACCTGCGAGTCCTTCAGGCCCAGCCTGGCCGCCAGCTTCTTTCGATCCGGCTTGCTGATGTACTTCTGCTTCTGGAACATTCTCTCCAGCGCCTTGCGCTGCACGTCGGAGAACACGGCGCGTCGCAGCATCCCACGGCGCGGCTTCCCACGGGCGGCCAGGGGCCACGAGAATGTGCCTGGGATAGGCACGACGCCAGAGGAAGCTGCGGGCGGCAGGAGGAGGTGGAGGGCGGTCTGGCCCCTTGGCCGGCCGCAGCTCCCAGGGCCTCTGCGCTGGCTCCCTCTCGTGCCTTCATCTCCTTAGCCCCCCTCTTCTCCCCCTAGAGAGGCGGCCACAAACCTGCAACCGGCAACTGTGAAAGGGCGCTTTCCGCCCAAATAACTTTGCCTTTCAACCGTGCAAACCCGGATTAGAGAAAACCATGAAACCGGCCCCCAACAACCGCCTGTTGCGTTTCTCCATTCAGGGGGTCTCAGAGAAACTAACCTGTGTGGACCCCCTTAAAATAGCAACAGAAAAAAAGCGAGTGTAAAAATAAAATAGCGGAGGCCACTCTCCTCGACCCTACTCCAAACTTGTATCACCTTGGGGGCTTTTGCATTGTTTAAATGCAAAGGGGGTACGTTGCTGATTTGAGAGAGAGAAAAAGGAAAATCCGCTTTGCATTCTTTTTTTAAAGAAAAATCTAATCGGTATTCATCTTTTTAATATTAATCTTTCCTCCCCTCCCCCACAAGACGTAAAGAATTCCGCCCGAATACATGAAAAGTGGCAGCTAATTAGCACTCTGCCCGCTTCCCAGTGAGTATTGGCATGGTAAAAAGGGGGAGAGTTTTGCTTTAAGGGAGAGAAAAAGAAAAAACAAAAAGAAACAGAGACTCTAATGAAGCGTGAATGGTAATTGTGTAGTAATGAACTAACAGAAAAAGACTGCGGACAAGCAGCGAAAGCCATATATTACTGGGACAAAAGAGATTTACACTTTCAAACTAAACACAACTGCAGGCCAAGACCATCGGGAGAATACCGATGGCAAGGACTCCTCTTCCTCCAGTCGCTCTCATTAAATGGACATGAAAAGCTATTTATAAAGTTCAGGTTGTTTTTGTTAGTGCATGGGGAGGGGGGGGGGAGAAAAGCAGCAAATTCCATGATCAGCAGGAGCAAGGGCGTGGGGAGGAGGCTGGAGAGTTCTCTCTCCCCCTTTATAAAATCAGCGGTGCCCCTTCTTGGGCGGATATCTAGAGGGACGGGGGTCTGCCCATCCCCCTCTGGCTGCGCCGGGCCTCGCCTCTCTTTCTAGGGGCCCTCCCTTTTCCTTCGTTGTTTGGATCAGCTGCATAGTTTCTGACCAGTGACTTTCAGGATGGAAGCTCCCGCAGACGGTTTAAGGTGTTTCTCCTTACAACTAGGACCCGCTACACAACTCTCTCCAGCTTTTTCTTATTTTGCAAGCCCAAAACCTCTTTAAAAAGATATGGCCAGAGGTGTGTGTCTGCTATTGGGGGGGGAGGGAGGCGTTATGAGAAGGGGTCGGAAAATCAGGCTGGGAAATAGAAAGTGGGAGTTAGAGAAGGAACTAGCCCCCCTCCCCCGCGACCCCTGGCATCCCACACAAGCGGGGCACCCCATGTGGTCTTGTGAAAAGCCCAAGCCCTGAAAGAGTTTTAAAGGGAAATTAGCCCCGGCTGGTAGGTGTCTCCCGGCGGCGTGGAGGGGCGAGAGTCGGTCTGTGTGTGGCTGCTCCGAGGAGCTGACCAATTGGTCATGGTGCTGAAGCCTTTGTGGGGAATCGTGGCCGAGCGCACCGACTCTGTGGGAAAACGGCGGCGTGAAGGGATGCCAACAGCTCCTTGCCGGGAGAGGAACCGCCTCAAATTGGGACCATGACAATTCTTGCTAATTTGTAGAGCAGGGAATTGGTGCAAAGTGTCAAACAGTCAATGCTTGTGCTAAATAGGGCATCAAATTGGCGCGACGGATTCGTGAATGTTGTACGCCTCGCAACCTCTGAACCAGAGCGTAACCCCGAGGGGTGGACGGAGAAATACTGCGCGGGGCAGGGAGCGGAGCGGGGCGGGCACAGACCTACCTGGGAAATAGGAGGATCTGATGAAAGGTTGGAAGGAGCCTTCAAAGTATGGAAAAGCGAACGTCTTGGGAGGGGGGCTCTGAAGTAAGGCGGGGGGCGTTTCTGGGGGGGGAGACAGAGTTTGATTACTTTGATTACGTACTTGGGCAGCGCTCTGCACATCGAATACGTGAGCAGATGGGCGCTTCTGCTGGTTCCAAAGCATCTTTTCCAAATGCACTGACAGCAAACCGAATCTTCCTAACGCTGTCTGGTCTGCGGAAATGTTCTTCCCCGCAAAGTCCTCTGCGCCGCCTCCCTCACCCCTGATCTCCAACCTGGCCACTTAGAGGCCAGATAGGACCGGGCTGGGACGACAGAAATTGGCAGAGCCACCGCACTAGCGAATTCAATAAATGTATGGTCCTGGGTGGAGGGACCAGGAGGGGGAGAGCAGAAGCGCAGGTGCGGAGGGCTCAGGTTCAGGCCGAGGGCGGGGCACCCCACAGCTCTTCCTCCCGCATCTGCCCTGCCGTGGCGGCTCGGGATTCCCGCGCGCATCTGGGCCCTGCTGTGCGCGCGGGTATTTGCTCCTCAAAGGAAACTGAGTGCGGAAAGCAACTAAGGGGGCCTTCTGCGCTCTGCCTTCACTTACCTGTTCTGGGCGTTGAGGAGAGAATGGCGTTCACCCCAAACTTCAGAAAAGTGGGCTCACTGGCAGGGGAGAGGGCAGTCTGCGGAGAGCTGCCGCGCCGGCTGCCTGTGCCTGGGGTACCGGGGGAACCCAGGTCACCTAGGTCTGAGGACCCAGAGTCGGCGGCGGCTGCGGGGGCCCCCTGCCTAGGAGGTGACAGGCTGGCAGCCGGCACGCTGCGGGGCAGGTAGGCCGGGGGCCGGCTGATGCGGATCAGATCCTCCACTAGGAAGCTAGAGTGGCCAGCAAATGCGGACTGCAGGGACTGGGGCAGCGTCAAGGTGGGCGTGGGCCGCAGGAGGCTCGGATACCCGGCGGGGGGCGCGAGGAGCCCGGGGAACATCATGGCAGGAGCGGGCGGGCGAAGGAAGCCTTCTTTCAGCCGACGAGGGTGGACGCCTCTCTTCCAGTCCCTCCCGCTCCCGCGGTGCCCTTCTCTCGGGCTCAGCAAACGTCTCCAAGTTGCGATCCCTCTAGGGCGTCCGCGCGTCCTCAGAGATCCTCCGGACGAGGTGATGGTTTTATAGTGGCCTGCCCGCTCCAGCGCTTTGAAAAGTGACAGCTCTGACAATGAAGTTCAACAAAGTTCTCCACTCGAGCTTCATTCGCTGGAGGCTCCGGGCACTCTGATTGGTGCAGAGGTGCAATTTATGATTGGATTAGTCTTCATAAGCATGGCCCGCACAATGGGCCGCCAACAAAGGCCCTCGCGCGTCAATTCTGCATATCGACCGCCTCTTTGCAATACAGTGCGCCCCCAAAGCTCTTCTCGGGGTTTTTTGTTCCGAAGCAACACCCAGGCTAATTAAATGCCTATTTAGAAGTTTCAAATGACATCTTGCCCCATAGAAAAGGAATTATTTAAAGGACGCACTAAATTTATTTGCAGCTCCCCCGCTGAGCCTGGAAAATCAATCAATAAATATTCATAGAAATACATCTCCAGGCTATCAATAAAATAGTTCTCCCCTTGCATGCGGGAGGGGCGTGTGTGTGGAAAATTTCAAGTCCTTGATCATGAAAATATGCTCCCCCTCTGGTGTGTAGCTGGGTCAGACCGCTGAAGCCTCAAGCAGATGTGAGGGCTGGGCTCAATCAGAGTGGGAGGTTCCAGTCTCAGGCCCAGAGAGGTTTGGAAAGGATGCTGGGGGCAGTCGGATGTGCTGCCAAGAGCCGAGCTCTGGCTTTGGATGTCTCACTGGAGGAGCCTGGTCGATCGCCAGAGTTGGTGGGAACCTACAAACTGCAGGCACCTTGGCCAACTGTTCCCAGCATGGGTTTTTGCTAGTATTCCCTTCAGGGACACATGGGAGGAGCAGGGGGCACTCCAAGAGGCGAACACAGGCAGGGGACACAGCTGTAACAGCACCCCAAGTTTTGGCCACTCTCCAGGAGCCATAGGTGAGACACACGACCCTTCCCACGGTGGGGTACACAGCGTGGCCAAGCTTTTGCAGCTTTTAACTGCAGCATAGGAATAAAGGGGGGGGGGAGGACAAGATTCCCAAGAATGTGGGTGCAGCCAGGGAAAGCCTCTCCTAAAGCTGACACACCTCAAGCGGGAATGCTCCTGGAGACAATCCCTTCGCTGTTCTCCGGGCTGGGGCTGAGGGTCCTCTGCTCCCCGAGATAACAGATGTGTTAAATGTCCCATTCATTTCGATCATGGCTGAACCTCCCCCAAGAGAAGTGTGCAGCCCCGCCAGGCCGCCCTGATCCTATTAACCATGAACTAACTGTCACCTTCAGCTGGTTTTCCTTTTTGCTTTTTAACACAAAGCTTTCTCAAAAATCTTATTAACCAGCTTTATTTCTCTCGATGGTTTTGTCCAGGGCGTTTTGTGTTCCTGATCTCCATGTCGCTGCTTTAACCATTCAATAAAAGTGCATCTGTGATTTATATCACATTAAACCAGAAACGGAGCACGCTGAAGCTCTCCCTTGATTCAAATTAAAAAGTTATTTGGGACCGGGCTCTGGAGACAAATTAATGGTGGGAGATTACGCAAGCGAGGAGTTTCCAAGCCCAAGTCTGTTTGTGGAGTCCTGGCGGGCAGGCAGGGCAGGAGGGGAAAGCCAATTAGGAAGGGAACGCTGTGGTTTGAGTAAGCGGCCTTTTAAATAGGGAGACTGCGTTGCCAGAGTTAATTGGAGGCCCTGGAAACGGAAGAGGAAGGTCTGCCGCAGCTCTTCAAAAGTTTCTCTTCCCCAAGTTTGGCAATAAAATAGGTGAGAAAGTTTAAACCAGCCCTACGTTCCATTGCCAAAGAAAAGCTCGGCTCTCAGCCTCAATCCTGCGGCCTTTACGCTTTCTGGGTCTCTCCCCCACCCAAGCCCCCAACGCTGTCTGGAGGCCCGGGGCTGTGAGAGCGGAAGGTGACCGTGGCCCTCTTCGGCCTGGGCTCTGTGATCTTTGGGAACGCTGGCGACGTTTGTGGCCACAAAGTCCTTGGGGTTTGCGGGGGCGGGGCCTTCGCAGCACCCTCCTCTCTGGCCCCTTCCCTGCCGGGCTTTGCTGTGCGCAGTTTTACAGTTATTACCCCTGTGGCTGACAGTTCCCTGCGCCTGCCACACGCACCTGTCCTTTGGGTTCTCCCTGGACTAACTGCTGCAAACTTCTCTGCTTTTAAAACGCAGCTCTGACAGACTTGGAAGGTGGGTCACCCCTGGCTGCGATCCACGTGGGCTCTGCTTCCTGCTGTCGGCTCCTCAGCCTGCTGAAGAATTCCTCAGGCCCGGAAAGGAAAAGTGGGCGTGCGGGAGGGAGAGTAGGGCTGGGCGCCCGTGGAAAGGCAAAAATAAGCCCTAAGGAGCCGGGCGTGATGGCGCACGCCTGTAATCCCAGTACTTGGGAAGCTGAGGCAGGAGCATCGTTGAGAGTTCAAGGCCAGCCTGGGCTCCAGGTCAGCCTGAGCTCCAGGTCAGCCTGATTGCATCTTGTCTCAAAAAGACAAAAAACACTTTCCCCACCAGCCTCAGTGGCCTTGCTAAAACCTGTGACTAAAGCCACTTGACCTGAGCCTGCGGGGTCCCTGTGTCCTGCCAGTCACAGCCACGTCGTTATCTTCCCGGCTCTTTAAGAGGAATCACTCGAGTTCTGGGCTTTATATTTCTCTTTCCCAGGAACAGGATACAAGAGGGAGCAAAGAGAACCCGAAGCCCCGGCCTGGAGCCCAGGTCCTTGTCCATGCAGCAGGAGACCTGGGCGCAAGGACCTGGCCGTCTTTAGCGTTCGGCTTCCCAGGGCTTCTGGGTGATCCGGAATAAACTCTTGCTTTGCAGACATGACTTTGGGGTTCACTTGAGGCCGTAGGAAGGACTCAAAACCTGGCCAGCGGGTTCCTTTTCCCCAGGCAGTGGAGAGAGGGCTCTTTGCTACAGCTACTGCGGTGACCAACCCACCAGCGCCCGGCGGGGACGGGGGCTGCCAAACTGGGCCAAGGAAGAAATAAAGCAGTGTGAGACAAGAACTTCCAGCCCTCAATGAAGATGGCAAGGGACCGCTTCTGGGTGGTTGAGAGACTGAGGCCACTGTGGAGCTCCATCAGACGCCAGGCTCGCGTGGCACAGGTGGGCTTAGCGCACAGGAGAAGGCAAAAGGCACGGCTGCTCCGGACGGACCAGGGTGGGGAGCGCAGAGGCCGAGCTGACTGGCGAAGTGGAGGAGGAGGAGGAGGAGGAGGAGGAGGAGGAGGGCGTAAGGCATTGGCTGAAAGAGCTTTCCTATCGCCCCAGCCTCTCTATTAAGACAACTCTAAGGAGTTCACCTTTAGAATAGGCCACGAGGAGCTACCGGCTGCCCCAGCCCTTTCTAGCTGTTTCCCCTCACCCCCCATCCCTTTCACACTCACTCCCCTCTTTTTCCTTGAAAATCCTTCTATTGTGCCAATCAAGCAGATGGTTTGCAGGAAATATAGCTTGGCCTCGCTGACCGAAACTAATTTTAACTAGCTTTCCAAGCCTGAAACGTTTGTTTTGCTCTTACAAAATAGCCCCCAAAACAGCTGGCAAGGGTGAATTAAACCCATTAAAGACACATTTATAAGAAATTATATTCACATAGATTGCCCGAACCCCCTTGTGCAGACCAGGAGAGGAGATGAGCCCATTTAAATGAAAATGTCCCCTCTTTAACGTAGCCTGAAAGTCTCAAGACATTTTACTAAATAGATTAACTTGACTATTGTCTTGCATCACATTTATCAGCTTCATTAAGTGAATAGCTGAACAAATATATTACGCATGCATGAAAAGCTCTTTTTCCAGGGGCCTCATTGTATCCTGAGGCCTGACAGGTGGTTAACTGTGTGTTGTGTTTTTTTTGTGTGGGTTTTTTGTGGTTTTTTTTTCTCTTCTTCTTCTTCTTCTTCTTCTTCTTCTTCTTCTTCTTCTTCTTCTTCTTCTTCTTCTTCTTCTTCTTCTTCTTCTTCTTTTTTCTCCAAAGAAAGGCGCAGGGCCTGAGTGGCCCAGTGCAGTGCAGCGCTGGCTTGGTGGGCCATCCACGCTGCCCACAGAAATGGCACCCTGAATGCTGGGTGCACATGCAAAGGAATCAACATGAAATCTTGGTGAGCAGGGACTTGGGTGGTTTTCCTCTCCAGTGTCTGCTCTTGTCTGGAGGATAGTTCTATATTGCTTCTCCTCCAAGCCGAGATGCCCTCCCTCTCCCTCCTTGGCCATTTTGCTTTTCTTTGCCTCAGTAGCTCTTTGCAGACTGCACAATTAGTTATTTCAACTCACATTGGGCTGTTGGAAGAACTAGGGATTTCCCTAGAGATCCCTGGAAGGGCCCTTTGAGATCTGTCCCTCTAAGGTTTAAGTACCCTCACACCTTTACAAGTCACTGCAGACCCAGGCCCACCCAGAACCTCTGGCTGGGGGCGACCTCTGGAAGGGCAGCATTTCTAGATCTTAGGAGCATACCCATGGTGGCAGGAAGAAGGACTGTGGCACAGGGCAGAGAGGCTGGCTCCAGAAGGACTGCATGGATTGGCTTCTGTTCCTTGGCCTCATGATCCACTTGTGGTCAAAAGCAAAAGCCCAAGGTGACCAGCCCCATGGATCCAAGTGTACCTGTCCACGGCAGCTTTCCAGCCCTGTCCTGCATGGAGGCGTGGCAGGATGCTAGATAAAAAGAGGAGGGGACCTTCTCTGGCTTCTGGCTCCTCCCCTTACTCTGGGCCTTGACTTTTAGCTGCTTTCATACCCACCGCAGCTCTCTGGCTCTTTCTTTTCCTCTCTCATCTCTCCCTTGCCCCCATCTCAGCCTCAGCTGGAGCTATTGATCTCCTGTCCCAGCCTCATCCTGGCCTAAGAGGGCTGGACAAAAGTGAAGTTCACTGCTGG